ATTGTTTTTGGAAGTTAAGATACACTGTTCGACAGAGCTCTTCAAACTGAACCCGAACGTGTGGTTTTTAGTTTTTGCAAATACTTTTCTCATGTCGAAAGTCCAAAAATCCTTTGTGTTTATTAAAATTTACTTTGTCGACTTATCTTACAACATGGAATATTCCAACTAGTTTTTTCTCAGTCATCATCGGAAACTGAATTAGAAAATGGTGTTAGATCTAGTTCAGAGATAAATACTCGTCGGCCAGGAACGTTCGAATGGGCAGGTGCTAAAAGGATGTGAGTCATTTTGTAAACCTATGTAGTTTTTGTGTGCAGGAATGAAACTACAATTTATATCTCATCGCATCCTCCAACACTCCAGCTTCAAAAGTATCGATCGCTTTTTTGAAAGTTCCTTTTTCTTGCCGAGAAAATTCAGCTTTACGGGGAAAAACCGAAATTCGCAATTCAACTTTCAGTTGGTTTCAATATTCGTTTCAGTACCAGCGTATTAGATCTCTGTCAAGTATACCTGTACTTTAACCAGGTAACGAATAGTACCAGTATGACATTTCTTCTTTTAGTTTCCATGCACCGCACATTAGTCTTCTCGTTGCCAGCTACCGCTCGACAGTTAAGCACTCGTCCTATTGCCATCAGGATCATTTCTGGTGTCATTATATTCTGATCCATGATTCACTTACACGCATTTTTGTGAATATATACAACAGACCGAATCGGATGTTAGATGAACGATCGGAATCTGAACAGGCGTTCCATTTGTTTCCTTAACAATGCTTCAAAAAATCATACTGCATACGAGCGCGAATCACTAAACGCGTTTTTCTGTATAAAATTTTGTCTTTCTTTGCTTGAAGAGTACGAGACTGTGCACGGCTCAGTAGGATGGAGAAAACCACTGTACGTCTCTCTTCCATTAAAAAGACACATGTTTGAAAATGGGTTAGTGCATCGTGACCGAACAATCTCTTCTGAATTGTTTTCTAATGGCAAGACTCCAATAAAATATCCATTATATACGCCTTAAGCTATTTATCCTTAAGATTTTTTCTTTCAACTTTAAATCCACATATTTCTGAAAGCGTTTTCTGGGAGTCCTCCAGAGATCATTTGAGAAGGCCGGACATACGTCCACTGTATGTGCCATGGTCGATTACCTATGAATGCACTTTGTTAGCACTTCAGACTTTAAAACTTCTTAAAAGTTATTTGAATTTAGTAATTTACAATACTTTTAATTTTAATTTTAGTGTTACGTAATTAATAAAGGCTGATTGTTTTTTCCCGCATCATAGTTTTATACAGTAACACTCTCTTCAATTCAGTAACACAAAACTACGAAACTACGAGGTTGCTAGCTATCGGTCTTTCGAATCCACTGCGATTGTCCTCGAATCTACCTATCTGAGTTCGATTAGGCCTGACAACCTTAGAACTATTTCCAAATATAGATTATCGACTATGCTAAATCTCATGGCAATGTTAGTTTTCAAAATAAGATGGAAGAACCGAGTGAAAACTTATGCTAGGTGAAATAATCCATTTTTAACTATTTCCAACAAAAGTAAAAAAATCTGTAACGCGGTCAAAAACCATCCATACTACTTCAGAATATCAATATATTCTCTGTTTTATCCACTCAGTGTGATTCTATACTTAAGATCACTAAAAAGTATTCTCTTGGTTCGGAAGGTTTAACCTAATTTTAACCCTGACGTAACCCCACCCCGCTCTCTTTTTTGCAAAAAAGTTGCCATTTTGAGCTGAACATAGTCTTAAGTAGAGGGATTCGATTTTTCCCAGTAAAGCTGAATTTTCTCGGCAAGAAAAAGGAACTTTCAAAAAAGCAATCGATACTTTTGAAACTGGAGTGTTGGAGGATGCCACTATTGACTATAAAATGAGACCATTTTCAGCTCTCCTTGACCTTCCTTGAAAAAATTTTGAACTTTTTAAGTTTTTCTTTCAAAGCCTATAAAATCTCAACCTTTTAGGTTCGTAAATTTTTCTCTCCTTTTCTATCTATTCAAACTTTTTTCTTATAAACCAGAAAGAACCGCTCCGAAGCAGATAGAGAGTGGACATTTTGACGATTTATCAGTACATTTTTAGTGATGTTTAGTTTTTAGCTTTTTTCCAATGAGGCATTGCGAGTGATACTTTATTTGATACGCGTTTTGTAGTTCAGACTTTGCTTTTTCAAACAAAAAGGAAGTGCAAACTCCAGAATACTAGGAGCATAGAGAAACAGCGCTCGACATTTGTTGCAAAACTTATGCATAACCTGTTATCGGCTTGAATCTCCGACACACCTAGCCGAACGAATTCGGATTCCAGTATTGATGTTCGGAATAAAAGCGCACTTTTGACTGCTTCGTGTTTGCACGATGATATCTTAGTGAATAAGCCAGCAAACCGACTCAAGTTAGACGAAGCCAACTGACTGCGCCCTAAATAAGTACCCTAGTCGATTCTCCCCCTCAAAGTCTCCGGGACAACCTCGAAAAATGCATAATCCTCGAGGACTCCACAGGGAGTCCTCAACATGTGCAAATTCACCGTTTGTTTTGCAGATAGATAATATATAAATGTAATACAGTTCTATGATAAAATTTTACGAATTTTCTTCTAGTAAGTCATCCTTAATGTGTCAACCTTCGATGGCTGATATGTGTTACACTGATACCGATGACGATACCTGGTACTTAATTACTAATTACTATCGTTTTCAGTGAATAATGGGGTCGGTTGTTTTTGCAATAACTTTTGATAAGAACAAGATGAAGACTTGCGGTTTTCACTTTTGAAAACTAGACATCTAACCACATATTTCTGGAAGCAAAAGCGAATTTCGGAAAAACTTCTGAAGCGGATTTTGCAGAGAATCTTTGGAAAACTAGCTTGGGTTTTCCGAAATTCACATAGGAATGTATTGATTTTTCCTCATGAGCTGATAGCCCGAGGTGTTCTCTTCAAAATAGGAGTAAAGCGAGACCTTGCTTTTCTGCGATTACAGTTTATTAGCGTTAATTGTCAATTCTTGAATTAATTTAATTTTAATTAAATTTCCACCAGATAAAGTGATCGCTGCTATATTAGCTGCTTTTCAGAGCGACTATTACCTGGATCGACGAGAAGTGGTCTATAATTTTCTTGCTTACCACGTAAATAAAAACTCAGGATCACTTTTCTCGGCGATTCTAATCGTTATAGATTAATAGATTAGAAAGTGTGTCCGTGGTTTGCAGTAATTACTGTTAAAAGTCGGAAACTAAATACAAAGTTCTCATCATAAACAAGATTTTAATAAATCAGTCTTATTCTTCAAAATTTAAAATAACAAATAATGATTTTTCTGCACGTTAGATAGTCTGGAGTGTGCTTCGACCCAACCAAGGTCTTTAGTTTTAGTGGTTAGGATATAATATTAGATTTTCTCGAAGCTTCAGACATGGCACATAGTGCCTAACTTGGAAACTGCACGTAACAATCGCAGTCGCTCGTGGCAATCTATGTTTTTCGAAAGAAAATTAGAAAAAGTGATGAAAATTGATTTTTACGCAAAGTAACGTTTCCATAAGAATACTTATGGACTTATATTTATTTTCTCACATAGGCGACTGAATCACACTGTTTACTAAAGACAGAAACGCAGTGATTTCATCATTTATGAGGATTTACAGCTGGTAATCGTAGTTAATTTCAAGTGAGATGCTTCCTTTTCAAAACTTGATCCATGATACCGAGTGTCGCACCAATATTTGTGTATAGGAAAATGCAAAAAAATTAGTTTCATGTAAAGTTACAGATTTTTTGCATCGTTTCACGCCTAGAAAAGTCGATTTTGTAAGGTAACGCTGTGACACACTTTTTTATCGCACCATTTTTAGGCACTAAACGCTGTTAAAAAAACTTCGTACTTCTTCGTCTGTGGAAAAAACTCCAGTAGAAAATAAAGTTCGAAAAATTCTCTGAGGTTTTCAGATCAAGGCAGAACTTGAAACGTTCAAGCAGCCAATGGGTCTCAACTGAAAAATAGATCTCAAAACAAAATGAGCCATTTTGTAGAGAATTGAATTCGCTATTCAATGGTATATTTTCAAAATTTCTTGGGCAGAATGTCTAGGTCAAAAAACTGAAATTAAATTTTTTAAAAATTTTAAATTTTTATATCGAAATTTAATTTTTTCTTTAAGAAACAGTCAGATTCGTAATCAGCATGAAAAGTTGCGTCTAGTGATGCGCCAAATGTCACATCGAGTACTCAGATTTCAAATCTGAAAAGATCGGCAGCTAACATTGAATGGATAAAACGTTACAACCAAAATATACTTTTGACTACTCGACATTCTTTCCAACGTCAGCCTCTAATCTCTTCAGATGTGAGATCAGAGTACTCGATTTAACAAACCCATATAATTTTCGTTGAAATCCCAAAGACACACTTGGGACCTTGCCTTGTCACACTTACTCCAAGGTGGATCAAACTGTAAAAGTTAGTTTCATACGTACTGAGGCAAAAGAGACAATGCAGAAACCAATTTCATGCACCATTAACCACGTTAAGAACAAATAGAAAAATAGAATGAAAGAGAAGTTAAAGTTAACATATGGCATGATGCTGTCAAGTGTTGGGTTTTAGTGCACCATGGTCTAAATCAACATATTTCGACTCAACACGAATGTATTGGTCTAAGAGACATTAGATTGAATACAATAAGTACACTGTGAACAAACAAGCTTTACAAAACTTAATACAAAAATTTTTTGTCAAGAGTATACATCTTCTGTGAGTTTTTCATATATATGAGTGATTCTGATAAAAATAGTACCGTTCGAATGAAGTAAATGATCTCAAGCGTTTCTTTTCGTAACCTTGATGAATCACTTTCGGACTTCTCGCATATATTCAACAACGTTAGGCTTATATAGAATTAACTAATTGAGTTAATCTAATGGTCAAAAAGTCCTAGAGATGCCACCACCTGACGGTGCTTATGGTACCGGTTGGATGCGATTTAATCTAATTGCATTCGTTAAATTTGTTTGTTGCCTTGTTGAATTTTGATCTGACCGTTTCTGCTTAAGATAACTCAGAAATATTGCTTTCAACTTTGGTGTTAATAACAATGTTATCATGTTCACTGTTCCAAGTCCAATAGCTATAAATAGATACGATAGACGATATGTTAAATAGGTCAGTGGTAATTGTTTATGATTAATCCATGTTATTGTGAATAGTGTTAAATACGGTACACCCAAAACTGTTAATGCAAACAAGGGAATCAACATTCGTTTCAGCATTACAAACTCGCGATTAACTGTTGTTTGACGCTGTATTGTATTATGACGATGACCATGAACATACGACCATATCCAAAAAGACATTATACTTAGTATTGTTAATGGTATACCATAAATCGTCATTGCAGCGAGCATTATAGCCAATGGGTCTTGAAATGGTATCAAACAAAATAACTCTGTCGTTATGTAAACCATCTTGCCCCACATATAATATGGTAATGCAATCAAAAACCCTAAAATCCATTGTATCACAATTAAAGTTATGTAGAAAATAAAACTTTTTTGTAGCCAAGATTTGTTTGGAAAAACAACATGAATTAAACGGTTAAGAGCTTGCAAACAATACGATAAATAGAGTAATGAGGCACCAGAGAAAAATAAATAGGTGCGCAGCGGACACAGTGGATCATTACCATAGTTATTATGGCCATCATTAACAGAAAGATCATTTTTTAATATATAAACATATATTGAAAAATAAGCTGCACACATAACTATAGCACCTGAGCATGAATTACAAACTAAAAATAATGGAATCGTATTTAATCCTTGTCGGCGATGAAACAGAACAATGAAAATAATTAATGATGAAGATATAAGACCAATTAAAAGTGCCAACAGAGCTAAGACATCAATAAATAAAAATACTGGCGATGCCATGACGTGTTGTTGACGATCTTTCCTTTCTAGATGAACGTTTGCTCTGATATTGGTGACGCGCCTATAGGAATTACCAAAGAAAAGGTGTTCATCATACACGTTCAATGTTGATGCTGATGAGTGATAGAGTTTTTTCTTATGATGATAAGAAGAAAAAAAAACGTCTTCGAAGAAAAATTGACAACTTGAGAGGATTGAGAGTATTGAAGAACTGAAGGCTCGAGGATTCTTCGGTGAACAAAGAAAGGCCTCAAAATGTAGGATCAACCTTTTATTTTTTTGTAAACTTTTATTAACTATAAAATAAATATATAATCAGATATAATAAAATAGAATTTATCATCACTAACTGACAATATTAGTGATAATATAATGCACATAATGCCCTGGGCTAGAAAATAAAGGAAATTAAAATAATATAGGATAGCTAGCAAACTAACCGCTCTAAACTATAATCTAATCTTAAAATATAGTTAAAATAAATAATATTTCATGAAAAGATAAAAGACTATTATGTTACAAACTACCGGTATTAAACCTAACGTAATAAAAAGGATTACAACATTTTTAAATGTTTTAATGTGTTTATGGTAGAAATTTGCATCGTTGGACTATATCCGGCATAGTGTGAAATCTCTACATCAAAATTTCCAGCTTTTTGGAGGAAAATATGGCTGAGTTATTCTCAAATCACTTGGCCGATTTGGCGCGAAACTCGCTGATTTTCAATGATTTGCGAACATCTCAATAACGACAGAGAATTTCAGAAAAAGCTAGTCATACTTTTAATCCTCGTTTCACAGCTATTCTTTTGGCGTATGAAAGAGAGCGCTGGCTATCAAAACAAAAAAATAGATAGGTTTGCAGGGTGAGTATCTCAGGTTTTGAGCGGTGCCTGTTTCCACGCCTGTTAGACACTTTTCTAGATTTGGCAATACACAAAGCATCAGAAAAGTCCATCATAACCTGATGTTTTCCAGAATTCGAAAAGATTGCAAGGTCGAAAAAAGCATTATCTATAATTTTCCAAGTGAAGCGGAAACAGAAAATATCACATTTTGTTCAGCTCATTTTTCTCTACAAGACTAGATGTAAACAGCTTTGAGTTTCGTTTTGTTCGAGCGCCAAGTGACTCGCAAAACAACTAAAATCGTGACGGAATCATGAAAAGGCGACCGTTATGTGGACAGGCCAAAAGGGACACAAATTTTGTAGCATAGAGTCAAGGCTTACTGTGGAAAAAAACGAAACTTAAAAGTAATGCGTCGTAAAGGAACTATTCCAGAAGTACCTGGTGACGGAATTACTTTTCTAAATCGGCTGTTTTGAAATTTTAAGATCTCGTTAAAAATGAGATTATTAGAGAAGATTTCGGGGCTGTAGAGATTTCTTCATGTGCTCTTTCTGGCGGTTAGTGGTTATTATGTTGATTTTATTACAATTCAAGTCAAAATGTTTTAAATCAGTTGTCAAAATGTTTAAAAACATTTCAAGACATTGGTTATACTCAGAATTTTATTTTGTTTCATTTCACAATGTTTTAACACTCATTTAGGAAAAACAGATGCAGAAAATTTGGTTTTATTCAAAATTGCTATTAGAAAATTGGATGAGTCTATTGGCACTCCAAGTGTCAACTAGGAGCTATTGGTACTTCCAGCCACTGTCTGGGAGTATCGTCAAGAAGCTATTGGTTGCAAAAACTTTGCTGAGACTGTCAATAAGGACGTCATCTGACATATAAGCGGCCAGACGTTTGGGCGCTTCTCAAACTATACTTTGACTCATTGCCCTCTTATTGTAAGTTTGAGACTTTCACCATTTGTTGACTTCCACCATCATCGTCTTGCTGTCCCGTCTAACTAGTAGTTTAATTATTCCTCTTGGCTAAACTCGTTCTGATGTTTTTTCAGTGCTTAGTGAATTTTTTAATATTAGGTGAAAACCCTAATTTTCGTAAAACTGGCTTTTCGGTAGATTCTTAAAACTTTTTCTAAAAGCAAATATTCCCACCAGACTCAGCATGGTCGATTATCCATAGCCCATCCGTCTTTAAGGCTACCAAGAGTCACCGAGTGCTAGTCCTGGGAATAATATCACTCGCAAAGCCTCATTGGAAAAAAGCTAAAAACTAAACATCACTAAAAATGTACTGATAAATCGTCAAAATTAGGTACGCACCGGTATTGGTATTCATACCGAAAATACAAGGATTCTGTCAAGAGTTATAGTTATATCAGAGGAGGATCTTACCAAGAAAATAGAAGGAGCAGTTACAATCATAAACTGATAAATCTTGCTAAGCTTTGATCAGGATCCTTTTCCAATTCCTATTTATTCTTGTTACTCGGTTTTTCAGTGTTCACATCCAACACTTTGGTCCTTCCTAGAGAAACTAATTGAAGAAGAAAATGCGACACATATGGACATTTTACACATTAATGCTGGTCAAGCGCCCAAATTGAGAAGTAAAAGAAACGAACGTTTTGAAAAACGTTTGTTAAATATTATCTCTAACCCGCATGCAGATGTTTTAAAACAACTTGATTCCATCGCATGTAATATATCATTGTAATCATTTATGAAGACGAGAGTGACAATTTTGAGAAAAATGATTAATAAAATATGTTTTTTCATTCGTACAGCGAGCCTTTATATATGAGAAACCATCTATATCCAAACGTGCTTTTGGTTTATATAG